CCCTTCCCAGTTACCCGCTAACATCATCAGCTGCTCTGAATGGTCATCAGACAATAATATGAAGTTAAACGTATCAAAGACCAAAGAATTGCGTGTCTGCTTTTCTAAGCTTACTCCATCGTTTGCCCCTATTACCATTCGCGGTCAAGAGGTCGACGTCGTTTCTGAGGCCAAACTATTGGGCGTTGTCCTTTCGGACGACCTCAAATGGAACTGCCATATTGACTACATTTGCAAGAAAGCCGCGAAGCGTTTCTACGGTCTGCGCCTTCTTAAAGGAAATGCTTTACCTTCTCATATTCTGATCTCAACCTATTGTACACATATTCGACCAATTGTCGAATATGCTTGTCAGGTGTGGCATTATGGCCTTCCTCATTACCTGAGTGATCAAGTTGAAAAAATACAAAAAAGGGCATTAAAAATTATTTTCCCTGGGACTATCTATGCTGAATGTTTGCTTAAAGCTAACTTGATGACTCTTTACGAACGTAGAACTGTCCATTGCAAGCGACCCCTTTCGAAGATGTTGGAACCCACTCATAAACTGAATGCCTTAGTACCGCCTAAAAGTCTTCAAACTTATAATCTGAGGTCTTATCCCAACTTATTAGTACCTAGGTGTAGAACTGAACGTTTTTCGAACAGTTTCATTCCTGCTGCGTCTTGTGCTTATAATAATAAGTAAACTTTAGATTATTATCGTTATTTTTATCTAACTTACCTATTTTTACCTGTAAATATAGAATAGATTGAATACCTATGTGCCTATACCACGTAATTCCAAAGTAATTCAGTTGTTACTGCTAGTTTGGAAATTTATAATTATAATAATAATAATAATTATATTCTGGTAGGCATTGTTCTTCAGTACAGTCTCTTCGCTCATCAATTGCAACTTCTGATTCATTAGGCAAACTCGTGTATTGTGACAAATTACTATGTTTATCGTTAAAATCACCAACCGTTTCATGCAAATTTGTGAAAGTTGACAAATTTGCATTCTCGGCTGACGTGTCTATAGCTACTGTACTTTTTGAAATTTCGTTGTTTTGAGTTTTCACTCCCGTTTCATCTTGCTCGCCGCTTTCCACCATATCTATAACATCTACGCCGTTGCCGTTACTTTGCCTTGACGTATCTTCCATTACTTTCTCTAGTCTAGCTGCTCGATCTCTCAAATTCTGGCTTGTTAACCCCAGCTGTTTATATCCTCGTGTCTGCCATAGGTCATGCATAACTTTGATATAGCCTTTTCGTCTCCCATTTTCGTTTACAGGGGGATTTTCCGAAGCAACCATGTCTTGAGCTTTCCTTTTACAATCTAAGCAATCTAAATTCATTTGCTCTGTCCATTTCAATCGTTTTGAACCTTTATTTCGTTCATTTGTCGCACCCGCCATATTTGCCAACCTTCCCTCACGGCTTCATAATAATATATAATAATAATAATAATAATTTTATTACAGTATTTCCACGTCAGTGGCTTTTCATCTGTAAAAAAAACTATATATTATACTACAATTGTTATAAAATAGAAAGGTTCTATAAGTTATTAACATGCTAAAATTCAAATTTAAATAATTCTTAATTATTAAATTATTCCCTATTTAATCTTTCGTTTGCCTCTTCAAAATAGTGTGCTTTAGCAGTTCGCTTAAAATCATTAAACACACGAAATAAAGGTAATTTCTAAAGGTAAAATATTAAAAATGTTTGCAGCATTGACTTGAAAAGTGTCATTTTCAAGGGGCACAGTGAGTTTAGTTTCTGAGAATGACCTCAATGTTCTGCCAGGAGTGTACAACTCCAGCTTCAAGTATGAAGGCCACTGATCAAAGTACAAGACCTTAAAAGTAGCTTGGGCCAAATTTCAACACATTCAATTTAGTGGCATACCTTCCGACAACAAAACCAGCAGCCGCACACTGCACACGCTGAAGACGTATCACGAGATATTCAGGAATTTGACGACTCACTATATAATTATAATCCAGCTTTGATAGCACTAGACACTCAGATAACTGCTTTCTGATCTTGTAAGGAGCAAGATGCTTTAGTTTTCTTAGTACGGATAAGGTTTTGTAACAGCTGGATATTTTTTTACTTATTTCATTTGTTCAAGTTAAATTATGATGCAATTGGGTACCTAACAATCGTGCGCTATCAAGTCGTTTGAGTTGGTTTCCGCCTATACGAAGGCCAGTGACATATTCGTGAAGCAGGTGAACTCTGGAACGCTGCAAAGTCTAGAACAGCATCGCCTTTGTTTTCCCCGGGTTCAGTGCTAGGTTAAATTCTTGAGACCAAGAAGACATGTTATTGAGAGCACATTGCAGTTCCGATTCACATTGTTGTAGATCAGATCCCTTACAATGACGGTAGAGAGTAGTGTCGTCCGCGTACTGATGACAAGCAATTTCTTGAGGCAACACGTGAGGTAAATCAGTGACGTATAAATTGAATAGAACTGGACCTAAAATCGTATATGAGGCTATATTCCTAGTTGAAAATAATGCGAACGTGACAAGCAAGAAGTCGTAAAACCTTATTGTTATTAAGTTTTAGTTGTATAAATCAGAACGATATTTCTTAAAAGAAACTTACCTTTATACAACAAATGAAAAGAAAGCGCTATGTTGGTTGAATTCTCAGGTCTGCAGTATTCATCTTCCATTTTAACTGCAAGTGGAAACATTATCAGGAATAGAAATTTAAATGACAAGTGTGCATGTGTTTTAACAAAACTTTTCATTCTGCTTGTCGTTAAAAAGAACAAAGCTTAACTAGGTTTGCTGTTTCTTGTCAGCATCGCGTTTTCAAAACTGATGTTACGCGGCAATTTTTGGAATTTATATAGTGACGCTTCAACACTAATTGCTTAAACCATGTTTACATTCTAAAATGAATACTGTTTAATTAAAAACATGCGCAGCTCTTTGCTATCACAAGATTATCCACCTTGCCGATACTCACTTTAATTACATTTCCATGCAAATATCGCTTCAAATTGTCTGCCAAAGTCGTTTAATTATTGAACTGTGTTTTCACCTGTCTAATCTTCTGGAACAGAGTACAACATTTAAGACATGCAGAGGAAAATTTAAACGCTTGCATGAGACTGTCGCTTACAAGTTACAATTGTCGAAGGCAATTGTTACTGTGTTGAGAAAACAAGTTTCAGCAGCGGAGTAAAATCGTCTCGGTATAGCACTACAGATAGGTCCAGCTGAAAACATTATACTGCCTAGCGAAAACTAGCGAATACTTTTTTCCCAGGAAGGCTATCTCAAGCAAAGTAACGTACGTTTCTTCACGTAGATTGTGTTGGCGACAACACTAACATTTTCATATATTTGCAACATTTATGTTGTCAACTTTGAGTTCGTCGTTTGTTATCATTATCAAGGTCATACCTTGTATTCTTTCATAAAAAAGTTTAGTCGAAGAATTTTCAATATATTTTAGTGATAATTATTGCAAAAATTTATACACCACGGCAAATTCATATTACCGCTTTGGTCTACCGCCAGCGGGTTTGATACATCGTTAAATTTCACGAATTGTTTCTTCTTTTAGACATTAAATATGATTCATTCATTCATGATACAGATTTTTTGATGTGCATGAGGGTCAGTTGTTTCTTTCAGTTTGTATTTCTAGCGCATTTTAGGTCGACATTCTTTTTTAGGTGTTAAAACAGTTTAAAACGTATTTCGTCTACGTTTCCTATTTTAACAGTTCGCGTGACATGAAACTGACATTTGAACTGAGATTATTTTTGAGTAGGTAGCGTGGTTTTAAAAAAGGGTGTATAAAACTAAACTTATGAATTTATTTCCAGTCATTAGTTCCAAGTTTGAGTTCCGAAATTATAGCGTTAGACGAAGAAAATTGCTTTTGCTGCTCAGTAGTATTAGCAAACTATGATGTGTTTTTTTCTGTTGTACTCTTGTGAGACAATAACAACTGGTCGTAAATAAGAGACATTCCGCCAATAAACACAGTATTTTGTGTCAGCGGGTTCGGGATGGGATACGCGTAGTAAAGATTAACATTATAATAATAGTATTTCAGCGTTATTTATACGTATAATAATACATTGTAGTTGGTAAAAGCAATTTGATTGGCTAAGAACTTACATTTAAATCGCGCAATCATGCAACCTACAGAAAATTCAGTTATCTGCTAGCAGATAACTGAGTTATCTGCAAATGAGCCTGCGATGATTAGCAAACGGCATCTATTTAACACTATTTAAGTGTATAATAAACAATTATTTAATTCGGTTTTTGCGATATGCAAAATTATCAAGGACTTGATAACGCTTACCTCGACCTTGATAATTCCGCAAATCACAAAAACCTCATCCAATAATTGTTAATTATACACAAATCTTGAACATGCTCAAATCATATCGGCCAGCCATATGGCTAGCTCCTCTGCACAATCGCATGTTACAACCACAACTACCTCAAATTTTACACAGATCCCTAGGCAATTACGGGATAGAAGTATCCCTCTCTCTTCAATCAAGACAGGAATTACAATGGCTCACGACATCGAGGTGTTAATGGCAGCCCGATTGTGACCCATCCAGATCTAGGCCGTGGGCTGTTGCGCGAAAAAGAGCCTAGAAAAGCAATTTCGTGGCACCCTCCTGGGAAATAGATTTTCTGTGGTTCAATTCATAGAACCATAGATGCTTAATTACCACAAAAAGTTCCCAAGCAAAAAACTTGCCCAACACCGAGAAAATGGGTGATCAGTGATCATCCTCTATTAAATTGTATTACAGCAAGAAAATGTGAAATTGTGTATTCAATTACAGCAAAAATGACTTGCATTATCAGCAAGCTTACAAAAACCTACATATAGGACATTTAAACAGTTTTTTATATCTAAAATTGTTTTCGAGTTATACGCTGTCGAAAACGTGTTTTTGGCCTAGTACCCAGTCCTTATTGCGACATTTTGGTCCAATTTTCACATATAAAACAGCAATAACTCAAAGACTAATTGAAAAATAAAAAAACTGTTTAAAAGTCTTTTATGCGGTTTTTTGTACGTTTTCCGATGATGCAAGTCATTTTTATTGTAATTGAATGCAGAATTTCCCATTTTTTTGCTGTAATACAATTTAATAGAGGATAATCATTGATCACCCATTTTCTCGGAATTGGGCAACTTTTTGCTTGGGAACTTTTTTTGGTAGTGATGTTTAGATGATAAACGCTCTATCATAATACCGTGATCTAGGGCCTACTATTTCAAAGGCCGCACTCATATCCAGAAAATCTAAGGAGTGAAATATGTTGTTTGTTCATGTTCATCAGTAAGTCATTTTTCACCTTCAGCAGCGCAGGTGATGTAAGAGATTATGCAATCTTCAAAGCTGATTTGATAACATTGTCGAAACAAGGTATGGAAAACGTGTTGCGATGACAATTATGAGAGCGTGCTTACAAGGAAAACCACTTGATATGATCAAAGGGATTGGACAAGATTATGATGCAGCCTGGGAATACTTAGATTCCGTACATGGTGACCTAAGGTTTGTAGCAGATATGATAACCCAGGACATTTCACGGTTCAAACCTATCAAAGTACATTTAATACGACGAAGTACATTTAATACGACGAAGCTTTAATATAGGGGTCGGACGCGAAAACGGTATGGGCAACAACCCAGTATATTTGTACTATTTGAACAGAAAATGTTCTGAGATGACTGGAAGATATGGGCGCGCCATCTAGAAAGTACGAAGAACGAAACCACCTTGGGAAAATATTATTTCATGGATGACCAGCGAAATGAAACCTCGCATGAGAGCATGCAATTACTGCGCCATTAAGAAACACCTGAACAACAAACACCAAAAATAACTCTTTTAACGCGATCAAGATATATTTAAAACAAAAGTAACGCGAAGCAAACGTTACGGCAAAGTAATCTAGTCGCCAAAGAGACTATGGACATTGCAGGAACAGTTCAGGCAAACTAAAGGGACAGATTATTGAAGCTTGCTAATATTTTAATGGATGCTTGTGTGATGTTACTCTGAGTGTATATCCACACCGGGCAGGATTGAAAAAATGCCTGGCCACGGTGGTGCAAATTTGACTAGTTAGGCCTATATATATTCTTTTATACTTGGATGTAAACTAAGAAAATCTATTTTTTCACATTTTGCTACAATTGAAGTATTCAGTCCTGGTTTTATCAACAGTCCCAACTGTTTTACATTTATTTGTTGCGACAAATTAAGGGATTAGTTTACATTTTTTCGTTTTATATCGTGGAAAATGATAAACATTTGGACGTGTCACGAAGACAACACCGCTCTTCAAAATCCAAAAAAAGCACCATAAAACTTTTCTACCGTTCTAAAAGTTGTTGTGT